CAAAACACTCTCAACAAGTCTGTATGACAAGAGGGATGACTTCAACTTTCCAATAGCTTTCCGTTAATGTCATTTGCCACATATTGGTTGCTGGCACTGTATGGCACTTGTTAAATATGTCTTCATGATCCTTAGCAATCCTTGAGTAGTATATATTGCCAGCTTCATATACACTAGATGCTTTAAGAAACAAACTGGTGATTTGCAAGCCAGAAATTAGAAGCTAGTGAAGGAATTAGTTTGACGAAAGACAAAAGTGAGATTAACAAATTCAAAGTAGGAACCCATCGTCCAACTATCTGCCATGTTTGTTTGATGCCTGTGATATAGCCGCACGCGACAGCGCTACTATTTGAAAAAGATAGGCCGATAAAAAGGTGACAATATGCAGACAAAATGACTGCCTGCATTTGTATGGTGTAATATGATGAAACCTCGAAATTGAATATCAAACATTTTCCAAAACATAAAAAATTTGAGCCTCAACATAAAAGCATTACTCGGAAAGAGAAGTTTCATAATGGCGTGCAGCAACCTCATTGATGACATCAATCGGGGCCACCATTTAAAAACAAAGACATTACACTGACGAATGCATTTCTGTCACGTCGGTGTTTTGTGGGCAAGACCCCTAAACCATTATTGTTTCAGCGAGGTGGCCATAATGTATTCTGAAAACAGTTAGATAAAAGTGACAAAACCCTTTCCATATTCTTACAAATCAGAGTCGATTGTACGATTCCGACTTTATCATGAACGTGTATTTATGAATCAAATAGTAATGATACCAAGTGTTCAAGAAAAGGTGAGCGGATAGGGAATTAATACTAAGAAAAGGAGCTCGTGCACATCACCAAAATGACAGAAGGTGTCCAGTAAAACACATACTTACCTTACTTTCATTAAGTCAGTTAATAGATTACAATGAATTATAATAATACCATCTTTTTTCAAGGGGTTTGGATGCAGATGTGTGCTCATGGTGAATTAGGCTAATTACTTCGCACGCGTACATTTCTCATATGTTGGGCTATTTTAGTTCGTCGTGCAAGACGTTTTGGTCAAGTAATTTACTAGAGGCATGACAGAGCAGAAGAGTGTCACTCGACATGTATGTACTGAAGACAACTGATCAACTCGAATGTAAGTGTTTAGAAATGGATTTAGATATGCATATATACGATATATGTGACAATAAACGAATGTGTAAATGTGCACAGACTGATTATCACGCGTGAAATCTTATGTATCAAATTAGTCGCACGTTTTGAAATCTGCTCGATCTTAATATCAACGACAAATATCTGACAAAAAGGTTTAGATTAAAAAGATATATGTACATATATATTTAACCTGCATAAAACCTGGTGTCAATAGATAGTACAATAACCATAGCATAACAGATGTCTTAGTACAATCAAAAGAATAAACTATTAGTCAACGATAAAAATAAAAATAAATGGGCTATAGATCTCCAGCAACCAATGCTAGGCCACCATGATTGCTAGCGACTATGTTGCACCAACAGCGCAACATGGCGTTTCTTGTACTGCCAAGATAAGCAAAGAAAATCGACAAAACCCTTTCCACATTAAGAACATATCTCTCCAATCACTCTGTATCACTATGCAATAGTAATTATACAGGTTTTCGCGAAAGGGTGAGCGTATCCTGCCCCGACGGTGGCACTCATTACAAACACGTGCAAAGGCAAGTCAATTGTTCCCCTTGAAAAGTTAAAATAGGGAATTGCATCGGACATCATTTTTGTCATTGATGCTTCAGATGTGGAATATCCTCCACATGTTCACCATAAAACTTTTTGAAAGCTTTTCTATGACCTTGAATGTTGTGACCTTGATCAAACAACTACTGAACAAGAGTCGTAGAAAGGGCATGAACATTATCTGATCTACGAAACTGTTGATCGTAACGGATGTAGCTTTCAGTCTGCTAAGATCAAAACCATTAATGCAGCATGGCGTCAACAACAAAGCTTATTTACCCTACGAACAGATACGTTTGCCATTTTTATTTGGCGCCATGCAAGAAAGTAGCTGGCATAATTATATTTAATAAGCATTGTTTCTTAAACATTTCTAATTATTTACAAAATACTTTTCTGGAGATAAGAAGCTGCACATAAGAAAATACAATCAACATGTCCACATATTAAGCATTCAGCTGAGTAAAAAATCCAAAGCATATTTACTTGGACGAATTTGACATAAAACCAAAACGCAGGATTGGAATTGGTGGTCAGACGTTGAAGTTTGAAGCGACAATAATTGAATTGAGCCCCTTGTTCTGTGTCTTAAATACATGTTTCCCACGAATATCGCGCTATCTCCCTGAAACGATGTTATTACTCTGCACTGAAAACAGACTCTTTGCTTGTACAGGAATCAGCCGATAAATGATAAAAGCAGATATTATCATGATCGGTAGGATTTATTACTCGGAGAACTATAAAAGAAGCAATAGGGCCAAAGTTAAGGCAAAGGTAATCCCAAAGGTTATCGCAAATCGCGGAAATTAATCGTTTTCAATTTATTGTAGAGACATTAGGTGTATTTCAGGTCGACAGATGTCGATTCACCAGGATTTGATTGATAGTGTTCATATACAAAACACGCATGATGAATGTCCTGGGTGGAATCGAGGTCAAACGTATAAACGCGCCTGTATATGTTGTTTGATGTAGGTCGTAGGAGGCAAAAAAATGGATCAGGTGGTCAGGCTCGATGACTTTGTAGATAGCATGTCATCGTATCCTGATGGCGTGAATCAATTTCATGATATCACATGACTGGGCAAGTTGCTTTTTGTTTAACGCCGTACTCAGCAATATTCAAGTTGTTGACGGCGGTCGCCTTTCATGACAAGCATGGGGCTCTGAAACCTATCCATTGATAAATAAAGGTTCTTTTATCGACGTCAATCAAGCTACACATCCGGCATTCTGAAATAAGTCAAAATCGAAAATAAATCTTTCTTTGTAAATGTCACCTTAATGGGAAGCCAAATAACACGTCTGGAAGCAAAATTCCAGAACAATCAACATGACAGACGACGTCAACCAGACGTTAGAACCATGCCGTGTCCAAGAGAGGATTCACCAGCATCTGAACCACATTAAATGATGGTGTAATTGGTCCTAATTGTCAGTGTCCAATTGATTACTGATAGAAGTTGGTTGGATCATGCTAACAAATGGGATCACTGTCTACTGCCCCGTATTGTTATGCCAATATTTGTCATAATAAAATGTGGTTTAATGGCATCCTTGACAAACAAACAAACAACAAACAAACCGAAGGAAGACGACTGTAGTCATTTGCCATGGGGACATGGATAAATTATGCGGAATTAACAATGACGTCGACATATTTACTAACATCAAGAGCTAAACGTGTATGAGAGGAGACATTTGTGATTTATTCAGTGTGTTGTTCTTCTATATATTGAACGTACGTGTGATTTGCGTTTTGTTTAGAATACTCTTGATATCAGCTCATGAAAGGCCTGTCAACATGTCAAAGAGCGAGATGCATGTGCGAGACGCCACGTGCATTCACAGTTCAGCATTCTGGTATATCTTTTAAGATACGGTTATCATTCTGGTTTTTTTCTACTCCTCGACAATGTTTACGATTAAACGATTAAACATCTTATCCTTGTTGTCTCACCTGATGTTATTTTCAATGTTGAACATTTTCTTCTCGATTTCTAATCTCAAATTTTGAATAACAGAGAGATTATAAATTTGTTAGATTTATGAAACTCCAATTAAAAAATAACGATAAAAGTAACAACCTCTTTATGCATATTTTAATAATAATTGGCTGTTAATATTTTTTCTTAGTTGTGTTTTATATTTGAATTGAATTAAACGTGACAATTAATATAAATCTATCTGATTTGTTTTAATCCTACCTTATTTGTATGATAAATAAAGTTGATGAAAAAATGAGCACAGATAGCAAAGGAAAATATCATTCACGAAAAATCATAAAGTGTCCTTTTATAGGCCACAGGTGGGCTGTGCAAGATGAAGATGGAGCTATAACGCTGCATCAGCTATAATGCTGTTATCAACCAAAAAACAACATTCCTCTCAAATATTACAATCTCATTATAAACAATCACAATCATGTCTTTCCAACATCTTTTCGCACCAGGTGGTCTCACATTCATCAATAGCCTTCATTCTCAAACAGACATTTCTAAATAATTGTGAAGCCAAAACATTCCTTGCCTTTTTACGTTCCCAAATAAAGATTGTAGCTACCTCCATCTGACAAGTTATGTATACAGTGTTGAGTTCAAAGATATCCATCTATTCCCTCAAACTGAAGGACTAAGTGTTCTCTAAAAACTCTCCTGCAGCCATTTAACATACAGGTTGAACTATTTGATCTTTGAAGCCTTTCGAAACTCTAAATCCTGCTTTCTGTTTATAAAATAGCAAACAGGAGAGATGAAATACATTACAGTAAGGCAAACACCCCTATGGGACCAATCCCAGTGGAGAGCTGAATCGTTCCGTGTGTTCTCTTGCTTATATTACAATTATCTCGTGGCCGGACTTTTGTCAATATTGGTTTAAATCCAGGATAAAAGGGCATTCGCATCTTATTCGTGTTCTTGGTGAATGTCACTTTCTAACAGCAGGTTGTGGATAAATTGAACGAATTATATAACAATTTATTATATTCAATATTGTTCCAAACAGGAAAATACGTGAAAGGTTTATTGCCCTGAAACAAAAGCAACTGACCTTCAGGTTGTTTCAGTGCAACCTGTTAAATGACTTAATGTTAAGTCTCCCACAATGAATTAAGTCCTTAATCCTATAATGGATAGTTCGATAGGTATATAATATGAAACTGTAGTGTAACGCCTTTGGGATGGCGCTGACTTTGAAGGGGAGATGCACCACTTGACACGTTTAAAACGTTATCTGTACAGAGTGATTTGGGGTTGCAGTTGTTACTCACCATTGGCCAGACGTTGATTTATTGCAGTTGATGTCTCTCGTAGATCGTAGATGCGGTATTGGCCCAATACTGGGGCAACGTTGGTTTAACGTTCGCTGCAAAGAGAATAATTTCGCCTCATGTATCATCAAACAAATTGTTTTGCTGGATATGCTGTGTGTCCTGAAAAATATGATACTGTCTGTAACAAAATTCTCCCGTAACATGCATTAAATGGTCAGTCCATTCCAAGCCGAATGTTAATGTCATGTGCTCCAAATAGGTTACACGATCAGCATGTATCTATTTTGATAACCAGTATACTCATCTTAAAAACAGGTGTTTAAAAATCGTATGCTGTAGCAGTTTTTCACTGATGCCGAAAAGTGAAAAAAAATATCCAAAAGAAAGCTGACTCCACGATATATGGGATTTCCTCTGAATTTGTAATTGTAAATATTATTAATAATGTGCCACTTGCCACGGTTAAATACGCAGAGTTGTGGCCCTTTGGTTCGCCAGATCCCTATAATTGTGGGTTCGAATCCCGGTTCGCCCCGATTATGTTTCTAGGTTTGTCAGCGCAGAAGCAGTAGGTTTCACCAAAGTGGTAAATCGTCTGAGACCTGCATCACTTTGGGCTTTCCTCCCACATTTACCTGACACACCGTGATTTAACTGGAACACTATTAATAGTGACTCTGAACCCAACTCACTCACTAACACAATCTTATCATAACAGTTGTGAGAACCACCACTCCTGCCAGTGCTGCACAGTACATGTAGATCTGCAGCAAGTGCTTCATTACTTGGAGTTATTTATGACAACCATGTCCTTGGTATCAGTAATGGTGAAGATTTTGTCAACCAACAGAACTCAGATGTAATTATTCTAAACCATTATTATAATAAACTTGTGATTCAAGTATTAATGAAAACATCGACATGCTGGTGAGTTTTTTAAAACACAGCCTCATTACATTCATCAAATGAAAAACAAATATTGCCAAATACACAAAATAGTTCCGTGAAGTCTTTACAATGACGAAGACATGAATGTTGAATATGAATGAATAATCGTTCACCTACCAACAAATGATATTTCTTTTAAACATGTGTTGGATGAAATTGTACTGTTTGATTATTTACAACATTTAATATTTAAACATCATAATATTTAAAGTTTTCTTCACACCAAGCTATTTTCTGTATGTTAAAAGAAAAAGCATTTATGAAAACAAATATAATACCAGTGGGCACACCCGTGAAGATTCGGGTTAGAGTAGGTTTTCAGCAACCCATGCTTGCCGTAAAGGGCGACTATGCTTGTCGTAAGAGGCGATTGAGTGGTCAGGCTCGCTGACTTGGGCGATGTATGTCATCGTATCCTAATGACGCAGAGCGATGCTCTGATGTCATGATCACTGGATTGTCAGGCCCAGACACGATCATTTACAGACCAGCGTCATACAACTGGAATAGTGCCGAATGCGGCGTTAAACGACAGATACGTCCCCAGTTACCGTTAAAGCAGCAACCGCAAGAGAACAAAACTAACTCCACAGTCAACGATTTTCCAGGTATTTTACGTCTAACTGTACATAATGAAGTTTGGACCAGACAAACCAGTGATCGAAAGCAGACGCATCGATCGGTGATGCAGAGGCAAACAGCCAAGTCACCGAGACTCACCTCATCCATCTGAGAGGGCTCTTGAGAAAAGTACTGGATACTGAGGACAATTTCCTTCCAAGTCCCCACTGAGATTAATACTCCATGTTTAATGTTAATGTATATTCCGTGTCTTTTCAAATTAACCGTTGCATGCATCCAGTCAGTTTTACTCGATAAGGCTAATATACAATATAATTCCACTAAAACGCTCCTTCAGAAATGGATGAATCCAAAGTATTAAACTGCCAGCCATCATGTCGCCTTGAAGTATTGTAACTTGGCAAAGAAAAGTACAGGCAGGGCATGGTAATCTTCTCCCACTGCACTGCAATGAACCTGCCGTTCTTATCAAGGCATCAATTATGCATAAAATGTCCACCGCAAAGAAACACTGATGTGATGAAGTATTAAGAAAATATACCACAGCAAGAAGATTTTCATCGATATTTTTTAATGAACTGTCACATCATTAAAAATAAAGCCACGTCAAGCCGTCGAGAGTTTGCCAAGTCCACTCTCGCCAACAACTTTATGCTTGAGGTTCCTAATTGTCAGAAATATTTAAATACTCAAATGCCAAATGCACGGATCTTGATGGGAATTCTATCAAGACACTGAAGGGTGCTTGATTCTAAATGATCAAAATATCATCAGATACCTCAAAAGTAAGACGCCTTTTCCCATACAACTTGTGTGTGACCACATCGACCTGCCGATAGCCTAGTTGTCGATATAGTATATGAAAAAGCCGATTAGAACTTCATACATTCGGTATTGGTCACCAAATGGTACACTGCTAAACCATATGGTCACAACAGCTTATCAATTTCATAAATAGAAATGACACCGAAGAAAAGAAAATGGGTGACGAGTTAGACTTTCACTGTGGTGAAATGGGGGTCAACGTCGCGTTCTAGATTATTGTACTTATATAGCTGCGTGCGAGCGTGCCTTCATGCGTACCTGTACTAGTCCGGGCCAATGCCGATTTTACAGTGCTAGCCCACTGAGGTAGCTTGACGCAGTTTAACATAAATACCCCGCCCAGACAGAGTACGCCGACCAGTCCTTGTTTTAGCCGCCTAATGCCGAGCGCCAGGGAGGGTAACAACAAGTACAATCTTTTAACGTCAATTGGTATGGCGCGGTCGGGTTCTAACCCACGGCCTTCCACTCTCCAGACAGTCCTCAACAAGGTACCATTATTCTTAACACCTTTACGTGCTATTAACTCAGAATCGCAATATGAACACACGCTTCGAACAACATGGCACTGGAGACCGCTGATCAATCATCACAAGTCTACCTACACTAGGAGTAAAGAGAGTTTAGCATAACCCAGCCACAGCTAACACAAGGCACCAGTATTCCAAACCACCAAACATGAAGTAATTATTTTCTCTTTTTGATCTATCCATCTTCAATCAACGCCAGCGTGTTTCTTCTTCTTGTTTTACGCCGCACTGTTCCAGGTATTCAACGGTGGTCTGTAAATAATCAAGTCTGGACCAGACAACCCAGTGATTGACATCATGAGCATCGACCTACGCAATTGGGTACGTATACATGCATCAACCATGTCAACGAGCCTGACCAATAGGTCTTTAGCAGCCCATGCTTGCCGTAAGAAGCGACTATGCTTGTCGTAAGAGGCGACTGTCTGGTCCAGACTCGATAATTTACAGACCGCCGTCATATAGCTGGAATATTGCAACAAACAAACGAACAAACAAAACAAATTATCATTGTACCCATGTCGGGAATCAAACCCAGGTATTCGGCTAGACGAGCAAACGCTTTAACCACTAGGCTACCCGACCGCCCCATGTTCATTATGAACACGAGTCTTTTTATATGACTTGTACATACATCACGTGTTTGCCTTTTGTCGAGGACCAAGCTACAGTTTTAATTTTCTTAACGTTTTGTACTACACCACAAAGGAAATACTTTAAATTCATTATGCCTCTACAATTCGTTTAACTTTCGATTGGTCATATTCATCAAGGCAGTTATTAAAAACTTTGACAACATTCTCATCCTGGTACATTCAAGCCATGATTGACATCACAAGGTACGGGGCAACGCATGGATTATTTTATAATAGATGTATGTCAACTTACCTCAAACGTCAAATGTTCATCAGTAAAATAAGTATCCATTGCATAATGCAGTTGGCAATATACATATTATACCCTTGTCTGGTGCTGATAAATGGTTTGTGTGTAAACATGAAATTAATGTCTCTCCTTCTGTTGCTCAGTGCTGGTGATATTCATCCAAATCCCGGCCCAAAAGAATGTAACACAACTAAAATGTAACCATCTTCCACTTGAATATCAGAAGTATCCAGCACATATTGACTCAAATCTATAATGATCTTTGCGATTTCGATGTGTTATGCTTCACTGAATCTCACCAAGACGCCAACTTTCAGTCCACCGATCTTCTCCTTGACCTCCCAGGAGAGACAGGGATTGTTTTTGAGGTGGCATAATTGTATATTTTCAAATTCACTTACTGTCAGGCATAGAACAGACTTGGAAGTGTTTAATTCTGAATCAATGTGGTTTCCAGACTTTCACCACAGAAATGTTTTCTGCTCTGCGTCACCTACCGCACACCCAACACCCCTACTGCATATTGGACCATTCTAGAGCGCATGCGATAAACTGCACTTGATGTATCCCGTGACATCGTCCTAGTTTGTGACCTGAATGAAGATCTTTTCAATATTCACCACTTACGTTATATAATAACACAACAGAACTTACACAGTGTTATAACCGAAGTAACACGAATTACATTTGTTTGTTGTTTAACGCCGCACTCAGCAATATTCCAGATATATGATGGAGGTCTGTAAGTAATCGTGTCTGGACCAGACAATTCAGTGATTAACATCATGAGCATCGATCCACGCTATTGGGATCGATGACATGCATCAACCAAATTACCAGGCCTGACCATCCGATCCTGTTAGTCGACTCTTACGACAAGCATTGGTTGCTGAAGACCTGTTCTCTACCCGGATCTTCAGTTTATAAATTTACTTTTAAATAACCTTTTGTATTTAGGGACATGATTGTAGATATGAAAAAAAACTTGTTCTCGTCGCTATATGATTGGAATAATGTCGATGCGACGTTAAATTTTAACTCACTTACTTGTGCATCGAGTAGGTGAGAACTTGGCGAAACTGAAGCACGTTATTTATGAGTGTATAATACACCAAACTCCATGTCAGTCGCGTTACAGTGTATTTAACATTGCTGATACACGGAGTTGATCAGCGTGTAGAATGTATGGTCTCGACTGTTATCACTCATGTTACTACAGCCTCAAAACGTCTTGACAATAATGTGTTATAGATTAAATCGTCACACATGTGGTCGCTGTGTAATCACTCTTTTAAAATTACCTCAAGCCGATAAAGGACAAA